ACCTGCCAGTGCCACACAGAGCCTGGGACTCATCACTGCCATGTAACGCAGAGGGTCACAGACAGCCACATAACGGTCACAGGCCATCGCAGACAGCAGCACAAACTCGGTGCCCCCAAGAGCCAGGGAGAAGAAGAGCTGGGTCCCACATCTGGCAAAGGAGATGGTCTTCTTCCCCAGGAGGAAGTGTGTCAGCATCTGGGGGACCCCGCTGGAGGTGTAGCAGATGTCCACGAACGCGAGGTGGCCAAGGAAGAAGTACATGGGCAGGTGGAGTCGAGTGTCCAGCCAGATCAAGAGGAGGATGAGCCCATTGCCCAGCAGGGTCAGCAGGTAGGTGGCCCCAAAGAGCACAAAGAGCCCAGCCTGGGTCCGTGCATCATCGGAGAGACCCATTAGGATGAACTCACTCACCCAGCTCACATTGTCCCTCCTCATGGAGCAGGTGGGATGGACTGCTGGGCTGGGGGCAACAATGTCACATGGGCAGGTAAAGTACTCACTTTAGGAGTCTTGAATTAAGTGCCCAGCTAGGATGTGAGGTGGAACAGGGATACTGAGATGCTTTTGCCTGGATGATTAAAGGACAATGTAATGAAGACACTGGAGAGAGGAATACTTGGTTCTCACCGTAGACTGTTAGATTCTCAAGCACACATCTCTCGGCTAACATTTATGTGTAGGATGTTGGATGGTTATAATTAAGAAAAAAAAACAGAAAATAAATCGTGAGGAAAAGAAAGAATGCATGATAGAAGATATAGAAAAAAGGAAAGGAAAGGGAAAAGAAATACTAAAGCAAAGAAAGCTGGAAAATTAGAAAGGTAGGAAGAAACATGGACAATAGGAAAGAAAGGAAGGATCCTTCAGTGTGGGATAGAAGTAGGTACAGTGTTGTGGCCAGATACACGGAAACAACAGGGGACCCTGAAGTTGTGGATGTCATTTCTGAAGTCTGCATTCATTTGCTCTTCGTGCTTTCTTGGGTTCAGTCTTCCTCACTGTTTAGAAAGGAGTCCTGTCACGTCTTCTCATTTCACCATCAGTCCAGATGCAACTTACATCCATTCGACCCATGGTGCTGTTGTGTGTCAGGAACTGAGCTAGACTCCTGGTACCTGACTGTGAGCCACAAAGGGAGATACGCATGGGTCTTGATTACCTTGGTTGTTATAATTTAACAAGAGATAGAGATTAAATTAATAATTACTAAAATATCAGTTAAAGTAATTATGCTAACAGGGAGAAGAGCAAGGTTAATACTTGGCTAATTAAATTTGAAGCTTTGTAATTAAATTATCACTGTAGCTATTTGTTACTTCTCAGTAGGGTGCACTTCATATACTGAGATGGAAGTGAATTTTTACATATTCAACAAAATGTTTAAAAAGGATGTACTAAGAGTATCTGGAAAACAGTGACATTCATGTTCAACTACTGAACATCAAGTGATGGTTGAGGACTTAATTTCAAACTGTGTGGATTTTGTTCAGTCAGGGTGACATTGGGTCTTCTCCCTCTCCC